ATTAAAAGCAGAAAATGAGGGAAAGATATCTTTATCCTCTTAAATCCTGTCCCTTAATACATTTCTGAATTTTGGGACAACTGTTACGATTTGTGCATTGAAACTTAAACTTTGAGGTAGGAGAGGTACTAACCTCTAATCCCAACCTTGGGAGGTTGAAGCAGGAGGAATTGCACATTCAAGGTCAGTGTGGGTAATTTAGTGATACCCTGTCTCAAAATATTTTTTCTTTCACGTGCTAAGGGTGTCATTCAGTGTTGAGCTGTAAGGGTTAATCTGGCATGCAGGAGGCTCTGTGTTCAATACTTAGCACAGGCTTCCCAGTAGCTCACAGTGATTGTGTAATGGTTAGTACTCAGGAGCTCACCACGATCCTTTGATGGCTATTACTCAGTAACTCACTGTGATCCTATGATGGTTAGTGCTCAGTAACTCACCACGATTGTGTAATGGTTAGTACTCTGCATCATGGCTTCAGCAACCACGGCTTGAATACTTAGCTCAAAATATCATAGAAATAAATAAACAAATAACATTCACTAATGGCGGCATTTCCAGTCAGTTGCTAAGATGCTCTGTTAACAAAAAGACTAGTCTTCCTCAAGATGATTGACAATTACAGTTACTTGGCTGTAAGGAACTGTGGAGAGAGGGTTGGAAACATCTGAGTGGTCCAGCTAGAATTAGGGCAACTGTTTCATAACTACCCGGTGCTAACACTTGGAACTTGGGGGACATCAGATTTCAGATGGCATTACCCGGGGGCGGGGGGCAAACTCAGAGCAGAGGGAGAATATACTAGAATCCCTTGCCAGGAGCAATCTCTTGCTGATCCAATCCAAGTAGCAAGATCCACACCAGGACAAAGGACTTTTGAAAGGCACTTGGAAAGAGTTCAGTTACTCTGTGGTTAACCCATCAAAGGCATCTTCCTATAACCCAGAGGACAGCAGGCCTCGACATGTGCTGGCCATTTGGAGAGCAGATTCGTACAGAGGAGATCAAACATTTCAGGAGAACCTCTTGCCTTGAAAGGACAGAGCCTTATGAAAATCATTAAGCCATCCGTTGATATTTATTTGCTTATGCTGAACTTGAAGCACAGCAAGCAGGAAGTTGAGGATGAAAGCCACTGACTCAGTTTCAGAGGCCTTAGTTCAAGAAAGGATTCCCCTACATGCTTGATTTTAAAGAGCCTCCTAAGAAGACATCCCACCACACAGTTGGCACAAAGACACCGTCTCCCTGTGTGGTAGGTTAATGGTCACCTAGAGCTCCTTAGAAACCTAGACATCCCCAGGCAGTTGGAGAAATTCCATAGAACTAAGAAAACCCTTGCAATCTCAGGGCCTTAACCAGAAAAATTATTTCCAAATATCTTCCTTTCTCCCTATATGGCACTTCGTATGGCTCACTTCCAGCCTTGTAAGACTGGGTAGCTCCATGACACAAGCAATAATCCTTCGTAAGGAACCAAAACTCTTTATTGATGCCTCTGATCCCACGACTTGGAAAAGAACACAGAGTGAGTTCATTTTGCACGTTGAGAATTAGCAGGTGATTGCAATGAAGCCACTCCAAACCAGTGGGTCTCAATCTTCCTAATGCTGTGACCCTTTTATACAGTTCCCCATGTTGTGGGGACCCTCAACCACAAAATTATTTCCACTACTACTTCATAACTGTAATTTTGCTACTGTTATGAATCACAATGTACATATCTGATATGCAGGACATGTGACATGCAACCCCTGTGAGAGGGTCATTCAAACCCCCAAAGGGGTCATGACCCAGAGGTTGAGTGTTCTAAACCAAATTGATGACACGGGAATTCTACCTGCGCTCAAATTTGAGGAAGCAGACTTGCAAAGTACATCTGCCTCCTGGCCTCAACTTCCCCTTTCCTCAGATACGAAATTCCTGCTCAGAGGAGGGTACAATGGAATGGCATCATCCTTTCGCCCCCAGATTCAAAACATTGTGCTTCTCGGTGCTGTGGGAAGTAAATAAGCACTCTCTGAAGCTCTGGACAGTCAGGAGGAGGTTGACTCTCAAGGAATGGACTCAGTTTATTCCAAAGCATTAACAGAGACTGCAAATCTGTCCTTAGATATTCAACACATATGTTCTGAAATTCATTAAGTTAGAAAAAAACAAAACCAACTTTTAAATCCATCATGGTTCGTGTAAAGTACAGATACTCAAGGAATGCTTGTACACTGTTGAATTCATGAGCTGATAAATTTGAGAAATACAGTCTGGTTTGTACCATGGGACAGCTGAGTCGCTAGGAAGCTGTCCTTCCTTGGCTGCCATCATACAAGTTTTAGAAAATGAACTACTCACTCCACCCCTATATTCTAAGGACAATCTTCCTCACAAAGTCTTCTCCAAATTCTCCTCTGTTATTTTTCATGGGAGCAAGTGTCATTTGGGTCAAAATTGTCTATTGGCTTTTTTTTTTTAAACAATGTGTATGCACATGGGTGTGTGTACGTTTGAATGCACATAGATCTATTTGTTTGGAAATATGTATGTGTGGGGGACAGAGGATAACCTCAGGACGACTACTATGCCCCACATTTTCATGTGGTTTGGGGAAACCAAGCTCAGGACTCCATGCTTGTAAGACAAGCACTTTCCTGACTGACCAATCTCCCCAACCCCTCCACTAATTTTTTGATATCTCCGACTACATGATCCTCAAAGGGGAAAACTGTTTTGTTCATTAATTTACATTTAAGGAAAGGCAGTACCTCCATGTTCCCTCACATATTCTCACTCAAAGCAGGTACCAAGTGACTGTCTGTTGCCTGATTGATTTATTCATTGGCAAACACTAAAAGTACAATCTGGCTTTTACCACATGTCAGTTACATTTGCAATACAAAAAAAAAAAGTGTCACTCCGCATTTTTACAGGCTTGTATTCTTTGAAACAATCATTGTCTTAGAACTGGCTTGAAATTAGCTTCGATCTCAGTATTTAAGGGACTGTGTGCTTTATGCAATGAAGTAATGTATGCTTTGACTACATGTGCTGCAGTGTTGCTCTAACATTTTCTGTTGCTTGACAGATGCTGGTTAATTCTCAGTAGGCCTCAGGACAGCCATTTCTGTAGTATATATGGGGCCTTGTGTGTGGCTGTTTCTGGAATAGAGTCACTATTTGGGTATGGCCATTTCTGTGGTAGATGCCTAGCCTTGGGTATGGCCATTTCTGTGGTAGATGCCTAGCCTTGGGTATGGTCATTTCTGCAATCTAAAGTACCAGCATTTGTTGCAGCTCCTTGAAAAGCAAAATACACTCACAAAGACTTCATTACTAAATACTGTTATGATGATTCTATTATTAGTTATTAATTTCATACTACGCTTAATTTATAAAGCACACTTTATTGTAGGTCTGGACACAGGTGAAAAGTGTATATGGAGTTTGGTAATCTATGAATTTAGACATCTGCTAGTGAGGAGGGAGGGAGGGAAGGGAAGAAAAAAATTTTATTCTTTAAATCTGTTAAAATCTCTAAATACATGATTTAACTGCTTGTTAACTACAAACATAGGCACAGCACACGACAAATGTCAATTAAGCCTATGCAAAAGAAAAAAGCAAACCTAATTTGAGTATCTTTTTAAAGACCTTGTAACTATCAATGATCACTTTGCCTAGTTCCATCTCACTTGCAAGCCTACGGAAGTTCAGTCTTTCTAAATGTTAAAGCTTGTAGGTAGCTCTCTACTCAACAGTGCTTCAGGGCGGGGCTGCTCCTCCCGGGCCTGGAGGAATGGACCAGTAGCCTCAGGCCCAGCAGTATCAACTCACTGGAATGGTATTGAACCAGTCCAGCGGGGACTGTCGGCTGTATGTGCAGGAGGCTGGCACAGGGTAGCAGCTGAGCAAGCGAGCTGTAGCAACTCTATGAATTAATAGCATGATGTCATTTTGCAGGGCATGAGGAAACTGAAGCAGGAAGAGATGAAGGGATCTGTCTGGAGCGTGCGGAGGCCCTGACCTGAACCGCACCTCCTAACGAATGCTTGTGTTCTGCAACCTGCTTCCTCGTAGACATGTTCCTCCTTCTGTCTACAGCACAGCCCTTCTTTTCACCAGTGAGTTAAAGAAAAAAAAATGTCCACCCTTGAGAATTAGCTGAGAAGAAAACTGAGCCATCAAGGCTAGTGTTTCCCTATCACCTTTTTTCTGAATCAAGAAATGGTTGCTTAGGCCCCCAGAAGGCCAGGCTATCCCCTCTTCCTTTATGAACTTCCTGGACTTGGGAAGTTGTTCTGTGAGAGTTGGGCCAGGCTGCCAGAGCCTCTGCCCCTTTCTTAAAGGAGCCAGAACCTTTTCTCCTCCAAAACCTGAAGACACAATTAAGTCAATATCAGCTGTGAGCAAAGAGTGAAACACTACAGATCATCAGAGCATTTAAGAAATCATGTCATATGTTAAGGACTTAACATAATATGGGTGTTTAATAGCAATAAACACCTAAATGTTCTTCTTAAAGACCAAAACTTCCTAAAGAGGTGGTAGACACTAATCAGACACCATTAAAAAACAACAACACTTGCTATGCGTAATTTTTCAGTGAAGTAGATGTGTTACGATTGACAATATATTAGTTGGTGGTTAGAATGAGATCTCCAAAGGTCTTTAATAACTGAGTAGCTACAGGAGTAATTAGTCACACAATTAGCTCATATTGGTTCATCTCACTGAAGCCACGTGTGTTAGGGTTCTCTAGACAAACAGGACTGTAGAAGGAATACATGTTATAAGGGAGGATTTATGGAGTAGTGAGATGCTTGATGGGTAAAGGTGCTGTCACTGAATATGACCGTCTGACTTTTTTTAAATCTTTTTATTTTTTTATTAAGAATTTTCTTCATTTTACATACCAATCACAGATCTCCCTCTTCTTCCCTCACCCACCCATCCCCCATTCCCCCTATAAGAAGGTAAGGCCTCCCATGGGGAGTCAGCAGACCCTGGTCCACTCAGTAGAGGTCGGTCAAAGCCCCTCCCCCTTGTCTCAAGTCAGATCAGTGAATACCCTAACTGTCATCATAGAGCCTTTCTCCAGTAACTGATGGAAGCAGATGCAGAGATCCACAGCCAAACACCAGGCCAAGCTCCAGAAGTCCAGTCGAAGAGAGAGAAGAAGGATTCTGTGAGCAAGGGGCATCAAGATCATGATGGGGAAACCTACAGAGACAACCAAACCAAGCTACTTAGTAAGAACTCATGAAATATAGACCAACACTTGTGGAGCCTGCACAGGACTGGACTAGGCCCTCTGTATAAGCGACACAGTTGTATATCTTGATCTGCTCAAGGGGCCCCCTGGCAGTAGGGTCAGGATCCATCTAGTAGGGTGCATGAGCTGGCTTTTTGGAGCCCACTACCTATGGTGGGACACCTCGACCATCTGACTTTAATCCCTTGCACCCACGTGGGTCAGTAGAGAGAAAGGAATCTGGCAAGTTGTTCTCCTGCCTCCACACAGGAGCACATGTGCACATAGGCCTAAAACTGGCAATAAAGTAAGACGGGATTGACTCGATTGGCTTACAAGATGCAGACTGGGGAGTTTGTCAGTGGCCATCGGCATGTTGGAGAGACTGGGCACCTGTAGTTACTCGGTCATTAAAGCGATCACTGGTCTTCAGTCTACACTGGAAGGCTGCAGAAGCTGGATTTTGATACCAGCAAAGGATGGCATCAGCGGTGATGGCATGCCAATAAAGACGTGCCAGATAGCAAGAAGCAAAAGGGGAAAAAACAGCACCTTTCCTCAGGCATCTTCATTCCTGGACTGCCCGCTTGGGGGGAGGAAATTCCTTCAGCCGGTCCTCCATGGAAATCCCTCACAGACCTGTCCAGGTGTGTATTTCAGAGACCACTCCAGCTCCAACCAAGTGGACAGTCAAATCAAATCAAATCATACTGCGTGATAACAAAAAAGGTACCTCACAGAGAATATGTGGAGAGAATTCGGTAGTGTACTGACTGCTCCATGATACAATGGAAAAGAGCCTGCATCTGGGAGAGAAGGGGATGGGGTGGGATTATGTCACTTGTCCTAACCAAACCTTCCTGACGCTGAGATGACAATATAATTCAGAAAGTTCACACTCAGTCACATTGAGGGAATCACACAGCCCAGTCTTGTGGGTTTTGCATTCCTGGCTGTTTTGCCTTACTTTTCCTTGTTAGGCATTGATTTCACCCAGGACAGAACTGCTCATGTGGATCTGCTTATCATCCATGGAATTTACTTTGGATCTATTTAAAGGCTGAATTTATTTTATGTGAAATGCAATAAGACACAATTGTCAAATACGCCTTTGTTCTATGGCCATCCTACTGAAATGCATGGTTCATCTTGAATGCCTCTATAGTGGCTCGTCTTGATTGCTCACATGATGGAATCTGGAATCAAGTAAGAGATACAGCTCTGTGAGAGGAAAGTGTACTTCTAGAAGGTTAACTAAGCGGGGAGACCCTGACCTAGAGTGAGCAGCACCTTCCAGCACTGACCCGGATATTAGGAGGTCTGAGGAAAGAGCAGCACTTCCCGTGCCCTGCCTTCCCTTCTTTCCGGTAAATGCATCTACCCCGTTGCTGCTGCTGCTGCCATCAGAACCCAGCTTCTTGGGCCTTCCGACGTGGACTAAGGATCAGGGTCTCCAGAAATCTTCAGCACCACACGGGGACTGCTGAGACATCCAGCAATGAAGACTGAGGAACTGCACGGTTCTCACCCTCTCCAGCCTGCAGGTAGCCATTATTAGACTGCTCTCATGATCCATATAAGTCTGTTCTTGTAATTATATTCTTTCTATTGATTCTATTTTTTTCCCTTAGAGAACCTTAGTAATACAGCCATCTACGGTATAACTGCATTAACTGTTTTTTTTTCTTTTTTTGATAGGTTCTCCTGTAACCCAGGCTGGCCATAAACTCATCATATAGCTGAGGATGACTATGAACTGCTGATACTTCTGCCTCTACCCAGCACCCGGAGTGTTGGGGTTGCAGATTTGCACCATTACACCTGACTCCTTAACTGATTTCCTAGTCTCTGCTTGAGTCAGTTTGTCCTCAGTCTTCATCTTCAGACTTTTAGCTCTTACCCACTCCTGGGGTCCCCGTCCTTCTCTGCCTGTTGTTTTACTGTCTGTTTGTCTTGACCTCATTAGCTTTCAAGTCTCTTGACAGGAGAAATCAGCTTTATCTTTACAGCTGCTACAGGCTGTTTAGGGGATGTTGAACCTACAAACTCAAGAAGAGTGTGCTGAGGACTGAGAAGAGAGCTTAGTTGGTAAGGCACCTTGCTTTGTAAGCATGGAGACCTCAGTTCCATCTCCAGAACCCATGTGAAAACAGGCAGGAGTGGTGATATGTACTTAGAATCCTAGTGCTTACTAGGTAAAAGTAGGTGGGTCCTGGGGCTCACTGGCCAACTGGTCCAGTATACTTAGTAAGCTCTAGGCCAGTGAGAGACCCTGTATTAAATTTTAAAAGGTGGATGGTGCCTGAGGAATGAAACCCAAAGTTGCACTGTGGCTTCCACAATTGCATATCCCACACACACACACATGTGCCATATACACCTATGTGCATACACACCCACATGCACATTTACCTGTATGTGCACCCGCACACACACACAAAGATGTGCACACACAAAGTGTGTTGAGTTGCAGTGAATGGAATCTTGACCTGCCCTAGCTAGCAGGCCCTCAGCCAGCTTCAGGGTCCAGAACACAATAGGTCCTTGTATTCACCACTGTGCGTGCCCACTAACACACACTCAACACTTGCAAATATTGGGGATACTTAGTGACTTCATTTCGAAGAGGCTTCTCTGGCGGCTGGCCCGGTGCTGGTTAGACAGGCACTGCCTAGGAAGACCCATCTATCTCTTCAGTGAATGACCAAATTTATTGTGCCAAAGAACAAAAGACACAGGGGCAAGTAGGTGACGCTCAGTGCTAGAAATCACTCTCGGACATACAGATGAGAGAGAAGTTTGGGCACTGTGATGGGGAACTGAAGTCTCGTCCTCCTCCTCCTCCTCCTATCCCACTTCCTCTTCTTCCTCCTTCCCCTGTACCCAACCCCCCACGGCCACAGGGAGCTACATTGGAATTCAATCCTAACCCCCAGGAAGTAGCCTCCACAGCAGGGAGGTCAGGGCCTATTCCTAACTGGCTCCCACTTCCTCTGTGGGACCTCTCCAAAGACGCCCTGGTAGCAGGACTCTGAGGCATTTAATTGAATACAAATTGGACTGACGAGTTTCCAGGAATTTTAGTGGAAAGTTGACTCCCCCCCCCAACCCTCAAGACTTTTCCCAAATAATGAGAAAATTATTATTATCGCTGCTGTTATTATTTGCAAAGCCCACAACCTTTAAAAAAATATTTCTTAAAGGAACAAGGTCGAGCAAACAACTTTCAGAACATGCCTGAAAATCTGCTCTTCCTTACAGTATTGGTAAAGCTGCTGATTCGGAAAGAAGGGGGTGGGCTTCTTGGAAGACAGGCAGAGTTGTGAGATTTGGTGAGTAAAAATACAGGATGCCCAGTAGAATCTGAGTTTCAGGTCAATGATGAAAAGCATGAAGTGTGAGTGTATCCCGCACATGGAGTGGGATATACTGATGGTTTCTTTGACATCCAGGTTTCCCTGGTCATCTTTTATTTCACCAGACAGCTCAAAACCAGGAGGCAGATCAGCAAATAGATTCCACCAACAAACATTTCCTTGGAGGCCCTGGCTTTGGAAGACCCTTCACTCAGCCCAGGATTTCCCCTGGAGTGTGAGTGGGAGGATGAGCACTGATGAATGTTCTGTCCTTCCCTGCCCACTGCAGCCTGTGGCAAATTGTGCCCCTTGAACAGCTGCAGAGGAAAGAGCCTTGCCCTGTCAGGATGGCTTTCCCCTTCCTTTAGCATGTTGAATTGTCTCTCCAATTCCCAGAGGGAGACTTTTGCTAACTGCTTGCAACCTGCCATCCTGTCTGGCCTTCCGATTCCAGAGGTGGAGTGGTGGGGCTGAGTGGTGAGGAGTGAGGGGTGGACTCCAGCACTGGTTAGGATTTCTGACTCTGCCACTTCCTATCCATGAAACATTAGGCAAGTTGCTAACCTCATTGGGCCTCCAACTCTGTGTCACTAAAACAAGGATGCTTGTGAGTTGTGTAGAGTATCTGGGGACTGGAGGATATGCAACATTTGTCACAGTCCCTGACACATAGTTGTAACCTCTTTCATATAGTAACCATTGTTATTATTGCTCTCTCTTAGTACTTCATTCATCACATGTGACACCTGGGGTTGAGGCTCTCTATGCTTGTCACTTGGAATTGTAGTATCTTAGTCACTGCTCTATTGTTGAGAAGAGACACCATGATCATGGCAACTCTTATAAAAGAAAGCATTTAATTGGGACTTTCTTATAATTCCAAGGTTTTAGTCTAGTGTCATCATGGATGTTGGAGAGTATGGCAGCATGCAGGCAGATATGGTGCTGGAGAAGTAGCTGAGAGTTCTCCAACCTGTCTCACAGGCAGCAGGAAGAAACAGACACTGGGCCTGGCTTAGGCTTCTGAAAACTCAAAGCCCAACCCCAGTGACACACTTCCTCCTAGAAGGCCATACTTACTCCAACAAGGCCATACCTCCTAATCCCTTTCAAGTAGTGCCTCTCCCTGATGACCAAGCATTCAAAGATGTGAGCCTCTGGGGACCACTCTTATCAAACCACCACATGTACAAACATGGGTGCTATGATAGTATGAAGTCCATGTACACCAGGGAGGGGTCCCTTGGCTGAAAAATGACTTCATCCTCTCCTCAAGGACCATGTCCCCTATTCAGTTCAGCACCCTTGTGGATAATCACTTCCACAACCAATGATCAGATCACTAAATAGATCTGAAAAAGGTCACTACAAGAACTCAGACTACATTAAGAAGGAGAGAGAGAGAGAGAGAGAGAGAGAGAGAGAGAGAGAGAGAGCCAAAAGGAGAGAGAAAGAGAGGAAGGATTTCTGTCTACAATCACATCCTTGTAAGCATGGGTGTGGTGGCCATCTACATGGAGCTGCTATGTAGCCATCATCCATTCTAATTTTATCTCTCTTGCTGTGATAAAACACACTGTCAAAAGGCATCTTTGGGGAGAAAAGAGTTTATTTCAGCTTACAGGTTACAGTCTATCACTGAGGGAAGTCAGAGCAAGGACTTAAGCAGGAATCTTAAACAGAAGTTATGGAGGAATTCTGCTTGCTGGCTCAGAGAGATTCATGCTCAGTCAGCTTTCTTATATAACTCGGGACTGCCTGTCTAAGGAATGATGCTACCCACAATGGATTAGGCCATCAACAATTAACAATTAACAATTAAGATAATCCCCCATAGACATAACCACAGGCCAGTTTGATCTGGGAAAATCCTTAATTGAGGTTCCCTTTTCACTTGAACCTAGGCTATGTCAAGCTAACATTTTAAGCCAGCAGGAGGCGCTGGTACAGCTCCAAAGCAGGGCCTGCTGGCAACCTTGGCGGGCGGCAGCTGGAGGCAGGAGCCGGGATGTCCGGGAGCCAGATGGCGGGAGCCGGGATGGTGGGAGCCGGATGGCGGGAGCCGGATGGCGGGAGCCGGGATGGCGGGAGCCGGGATGGCGGGGAGCCGGGATGGCGGGAGCCGGGGCCCGCACTCGGGGAGGAGGGGGATCGCCTCATTCACAGCGGTTTTTTGCTGGTCTGGGGGCTAAGCTAGGGAGCTGAGACCGGACTAGCTGCTCCCTCTTTAGGGAATGGAACCCTGTAGGCGTTTTTTGGTTATATGGAACTTTGCAGGCGGGTTTAGGTACCCGCCAGCCGGGGAGAAGGCTGAGGGCGGGAGCCACCCAGGCCTTTGGAACTTGCCCCACGTTGGGCGCCAGATATTGGTGAAATTATTAAGGCCATTCCACGTAGTTAAAAGGAGATTTATTTAATGGCGTAACTTACAAATTAAGGAATAGGTAGGTCGCGGAGTCTGGGGAAGGTGTATCACAGTCCAGCGGTGTTCTCTGGAGCTCTGCTCAGTCCACCTCTCCAGTCCAGGGTCCCGCAACAGACAGAGCGCCCGCCGATCCAGATCTCGGGTCCCCCGGCGCCTCCCTTGGCCCCGCCTTGTAGGCGTGACAGTTGCCGAAGTCTCAATGGGGGTTGGAACTTCCAGATCAAAGCTGGAATGGCTACCCACTACATAACTAAGACATCATTCCTCCAGTAGTTGCTCTGGTTCCCTCCCTCAAATTTCCTCTGGGGGTTCAGGTTTGGTAGAGACTCAAGGGATCCAGGCCTAAGCCAATCAGATAACTGGATTCCCTATGAAGAAATGACTGTAGAAGTGGACAAGTAACACCAGCAGAGATAAGCAAACTCCAAGAGAGCTAGTCTCAGGTCTCACTCAAGGGAGTAAACAAACTATGGGACTTCTGCCACTGAGGCACAGAACACACAAGTCAGAATGGATGAGTGACCCACCTTCCAGAAGAACTGAACCCCTCCCTGCATTCTGTCCCAGGAGACCCTTCCCCAAGCCCATGCTGTCCCATCTAGTTCCTGGCCCTGTGACTGGGCCCTCTCCCCAACCCCAGAATACTTCCACAAAACAGGAACAGGCCACACCAGTCAGAACTGGTAAGTGACCTGACTATCAGCAGAACTGTACCCATCCCTGGATTCTGCCCTGCCCTTCACTGTACTCCCCCACCAATGCCATCCTACCTCATCCATGGCCCTGTTGTTGCTGGACTCTGCCTCAACTCCAGCAGACTTCTGCCACTGAGGCACAGACCATAACAGCCAAAACTGCCCTCACCAACCCACCAGTCAATAAGGGGTTCTTCCCCAGAATTCCAGCAGTCTCCATAGGCCTAGACATAATCCACACCACTTGAAAGAACAGATGTCATAGGCCCATGTACAATCCACACTATTCTAAAGAACAGTCCCAGCAGCTCTACCGGAGGCCAGGCTGGTCCTAGGTGCCTCAGAAGAAGACTCAGTCTTTACCAGAGGCCAGATGGGATCAAAGGACCCAAGGCTTCCAATACCCCAGTAGAGACACCCTACTAGACTGGACCTGAAGACTCACCAGTCACCAGAACCCTTGGTCACTTAAGCCAGAAGACCAGAGAGGAAACAGAAACCAAGGAACAAAACACACATTCAACAAAGACAAACACAGGAATCAACACGTAGACCTATAATCATCCCAATCCAAATGCCTAAATGCCAGTATAAGAACATGATCAATAACAGAAAGGACAAAATGTCACCATCAGAACGCAGCTACCCTATGACAGCAAGACCTGAATTTTATAGCATAGCTGAAGCACAAGAAAATTATGTTAAAAATAACTTTATGAAGATGATAGAGGTCCTTAAAGAGGAAATGAAAAAAAAATCCCTTAAGGAAGTGGAGGAAAGGACAACCAAAAAATTGGAGGAAAGCAATAAATCTCTTAAAGAATGTCAAGAAAAAAGAAAACCAGACAGTTGATGGAAACAAATAAAACTGTTCAAGACTGAAAATAGAAATAGAAGCGATTAAACACACACACATACACACACACACACACACACACACACACACACACACACACACACACAAATGGAGGGAATTCTGAAAATGGAAAACCTGGGTAAGTAAACAGGAACTACAGCTGTAAGCATCACCAACAGAATACAAGAGATGGAAAAGAGAATCTCAGGCACTGAAGATATTATAGAGGAAATAGATTCATTAGTCAAAGAAAACGTTAAGTCTAAAAAATTCCTAACCTAAAACATACAGGAAATCTGGGACATTATGAAAAGACCAAACCTAAGAATAATAGGAATAGAAGAATCCTGCTCAAAGGTCCAGAAAATATACTCAACAAAATCATAGAAAAAAATTCCCCAACCTAAAGAAGGACACACCTATAAAGGTACAAAGGTACAAGAAGCTTACAGGACACCAAATAGAGTGGGCCAGAAAAAAAGTTCCCTCACCACATAATAAAACACGAAGCATACAGAATAAAGAAAGGATATTAAAAGCTGCAAAGGGAAAAGGCCAAGTAACATATAAAGGCAGACCCATCAGAATTACACCTGACTTCTCCATGGAGACTCTAAAAGCCGGAAGATCCCAGATAGAACTCTTGCAAGCTCTAAGAGACCATGGATGCCAGCACAAACTTCTATACCCAGCAAAACTTTCAATCACCATATATGGAGAAAACAAGATATTCTACGACAAAGTCAAATTTAATCAATGTCTATCTACAAACCCAGCTCTACAGAAGGTACTAGAAGGAAAACTCCAACCTAAAGAAGTTAGCTACACCCACAAAAACATAGGCAACAGATAATCCTACACCAGAGGGAAACATGCACACACACACACACACACACACACACACACACACACACACACACACACACACAAAACTCACACACAAACACATCACCAACAACAACAAAAAAAAATAGCAGGAATTAACAGTCACCAGTCATTAGTATCTCTCAACATCAATGGACTCAATTTGCCAATAAAAAGACACATACTAACAGAATGGATATGAAAACAAGATCCATCCTTCTGCTGCATACAAGAAATACACCTTAACATCAAAAATAGATATCCCCTCAGAATACAGGGTTGGAAAAAGATTTTCTAATCAAACAGACCAAAGAAGCAGGCTGGCGTGACTATCCTAATACCTAACAAAATAAACTTTAAACCAAAATTAATCAAAAGAGATGGAGAAGAATATTTCATATTCATCAAAGGAAAAATCCACCAAAATGATGTCTCGATTCTAAACATCTATGCCCCAAATACAAGGGCACACACATTTACTTGTAACATTACTAAAGCTAAAGTTACATATCAAA